TCTAAGATAGCTATTTTGTAGAGTAGAATTTAAGAAAAATTTTAGTAAAAAAATATCTTATTAATATTCAGTAGTAAATATTCTGTAGCGTTTTGAAGTTTGTGAAAATTTGAATTTTCATGTACTATTTTACGGTAATAAACATTGAAATACGTATTGAGAAAAGGACAGAAGAAAACGCTATCTTTTCATGATTACTGTGTATACATATGATGATAGTGTGTATACATTACAAACTTGGCATAAATACCATGATAAGAAATTAGATAAGGCAATTATTACTTATCACTCTCATTCAAAAGTATATTCCAAAAAAATTCCCTCGTTCCCCGTAAATGGGGGAAACCTCCAAAAAAATTACAAATTTAAAAATCGCTAATTTTCGAAATTTTCGAAATTTTTTTTACTTTAAAGTGCCATAACTTTTTCAAAAATGAACATATCAATATAATTTTTTTTTTATATAGATGCATAATGTCTTTACCTACCATTTGATGTATTTTTTTTTATAAATTTAACCCTTTACCTGCCCACAGGGGGGGATTTAAAATGACAACTTTTTCACAAAAAATTAATTTTTTCAACTTGATTTTTGAAAATGTTCCGGAAGGTCTGACACTTTTATATATATTTTAAATTAAAGCTAATGTAATATACTTTATCATGAAAAAAAAAAATTTCGGACTTTATTTTGTCTTCACGGTGAAAATGGCTACCGAATGCTATTTTTGTGTGAAAATTTTCGATTTTGTATTTTACATTTTTAACTTTATTATGCTATAACTTTTTGAAAAATGTATGGATCATTACAATTTTTTTATGAGAAGTAGTATTTATATAGATCTTTCATTCGACATACTTTTTTTTATATCGGACCATTTCCCTAAATACAGGGGGGATTCAAAACATAAAAATGCATATAGAAAGTAGAACTTTTTCAACTTAACTTTTGAAAGTGTTCCGGAAGGTCTGACATTTTTATATATATCTTAAATTAAAGCTAATGTAATATACTTTATAATGGTAAAAAAAAAATTTCGGACTATTTTATCTTCACGGTGAAAATGGCTAATGAATGCTATTATTGTGTGAAAATTCTATTTTTAAAATTTTAAAATTTTATTTTTTACATTTTTAACTTTATAATGCTATAACTTATTGAAAAGTGTATTGATCAATATAAATTTTTAATGGGAAATACTATTTTTTTATAATCTCTTTTTCATTCGACATACTTTATCTTAATCAGGATATTAATAAGGAACTAGCAGTTTATGAAGTTTTTGAAATAATCCACCAATTTTTTAAAATTAAACACTATCCAAAGATTTGCATCAAAGCGTTTTTTTCGATAGTGATTTTAATCATTGTCAGATATCATTATACTTGATCCAACTATGCCACGTTACCACTGTGCCGCAACCCCCCTGTGCTGGGTTTTTATATATTTATTTGTGTTTAATCTCATATTTTAAAACCAAGGAAAAACTTACCTAACATTAAATTCAACTAACTTTCTTATTAATTTATGAAAAAATTTTCAATATGGTTATACTCGCAGAAGTAATATATAATCAAAACACAAATACTCTTCATCATTATAATATACCTTCGTTTAAGTCACCTAAATCTTGGTTATTTCGAATACAATTAATGAGTACCTTAAAATGACAGTAACAAAGTCAAAAAGCGAAGTTCATGCAGTTATCACTGATTTAATGGTAACATATTTTCGAGGATATTATCCTGCTGTCTTACAAAAAAGACATACATACATTAAAAATGGGGGTAAAATGGACATTGACAGTAGTTAATGTATCTGAAAACACTATGACATTATATGATAGTCTTGAGTAATATGAGGGTCCTTATGCCACGGTATTCAAAGATTTTCTAATTGAATAGGAGATGGATAAAAAAGGAAAAATTTCTTCGTGTATTTGAAAAATAGATAAGAGGTTTCGTCAAAACAATGGACATGATTGTCGATTGATGACGGTTGAACTACCTAAAAAAATGTATCGAAGGAATACAACTACAATAAATTTAAGTCTAAAATCTTTTATAAGATTAAGACACAAAAAAGAAATTATATCTGACCCACTATTGTCTTAATATTTTACAAAAGAAATTTTGTGTATGTTATTTAAATCAATTTCCCTAATATTTATTATAAATAGTTTTGTTGATACGTTTGTATACTTCCAAAAATGTTTTACTTTATTTTAATATATTTTATTTTGTAATATTATTTCATTAAATAAACCTATATTTTAATATAAAGTTATCTTAACTGAAGTAATCTTAGATTAAAATAGCTATGTTGTTTGAACATACATATTGTATAATAAACAATAACCTTATAATCTACTGAGTGGTCGATTTATCATAAACCACTCAATTACTCTTAAAATAAATACAATATCAAAACAAATTTTTGATATTTTTTAGTTGTGTATTTTCTTGGTCTATTAGTCATTAATTACATATATGTTACATACCTTATAACATATAGGAGTGTCAGCTTTCTTTTTTTTACTGGTAGATATCTAACGTACATATTTAATTAACTTATAAAATAAAAATTATCTTAAAATTAAGAAAATGACTGGTCGATAACAATTTTTGGATCAGTACTTAAATGTTATTCTCATTTTTTATCTAGGCGAGACGAATAGTACGACCGAGAAATGACTAGTGATAAAATAGCAGAACCCCTCCTCACCTATAATCATTACTTTAAATTGTTGATAATTTTTGAAAAATATAGGGCAATTCATTAAGGATAAGACACTGATTTTGTTGGAACTATTGAAGATTTTTAATTTTTGTAAAGGAAAATATTATTTTATTCAAAATACTTTACAACAATATGTAATTAAATAATTTTTTTTTATCTTTTCAAGGATAAAAACTCAAACTTTAATTTCTTCAATGGCAACCTCTATTTTTAGTTTGCTGATATGATAGGAAAAATTTCAAAATATTTTGTTCTTATAATTTTTTATCTAATGAACAATTTTTCTGTTATTTTTTGTTTAAGTTGCATAACTTAAACAAAAATTGATGATTTGCTGTTAAGCATATAGTAGTCATTTATCACAGTTACAATTCAATATAATCAATTATACAGAAATTTTATCTTTAATAATTCATATCTATTAATAAACATATACTTATATATTCAACGCAATTTTACAATCGTACTTTATCGAAGGACAGGTGTGATAACATTTTTTTGATAATAACTATACAAATAATTGAAACAGATGCCTCTGGTTTCAGAAAAAAAAAAAAAAAAAAAAATAAATGACGAACTAGTATTTTATAAAGCCATATCTTTAAACAATTTTAATATAATATGATATAATACTTAAATGATTAAAGTTTAAGTTTTTATTAATGGATGAAAAAAATAACCCAGCATAGTAGGGACACGCCATAGTTGTGACTTATAAAAAATTAACATCACTATCATAAAAAAACGTGGTGATACAAGTCAGTTAAATTTCACAATAATTTTTAGTTTTCTATAAATACAATTAATGTTTTAAAATTTTGTTAAAATATTAAATGCTTGTTAAATTATTTGCTTAATTGAAAATAAAGTTTTTTTTTTTTAAATTGCAATATTTTTTACTTTAACGGTCGATTTCTCATAGTAAAACAATCATCGAGGTGAATTTTTTAATAATGTAGTACACTTCGAAAGATTTAACTTGGCATAGGTTTAAAGAACGCAAACGTTTTTGAACAATTTCAATAACTGAATTGAAATAAGTTTATTTTTTCATGCGAGGTGGTCTCTTTTAAACAACTCCTATTCCTATATTGAGGATTTTCATGAATAGCATATAAAAAGAAGCTTATTGTCTTTAGTACGTCACATTAAAATGTCATTAGTATCAGTGTTTTTAAAAAAAGTTTATATAAAAAAAAATTTTGAAAATGCTATTTTTTCAATTTTACGCGATGATAGGTTCAACTACATTTATTCGACTTCTTTTAACGTATAGATCATCAAAATCGACCCAGTGAGTTTTAAGTATTTAAATGGACAGAGTCAAAAAAAAACACCATCAATATTCAATAAACAATATTTTTCTTTACAAAATTAAAAATTAATAATGGTTTCCCATTGAATGGGTGTAGTGTCCTAAATAAATCACTCTGTATATGTATATAGATTAATAGTTTTTTTTTAATTTATAAATAAAATTCAAGTGTTGATTATAGATATATTCAGGAAGGATTTTCGCAACTTTTAATGTCCATCCAATAAGAATATTAAATGTAAATAAGATAAATATAAAATATATTAAAAAGAAGTGCCGTTTCAAAAAAAAAAAAAATGTTCTAGTTACCATTGGTTTATGATAAATTAAAATTTCAAATTTATAACTAAAATTATAATTAACTATCAAATGTCAGAATAATTGCACTTTATTTTTTATATTTTCTAGTGATATCACACTATTACAACGATAGAAAAATATTATTTTTTTTTTATATATATTACATAAAGATAGTCAATTTTTGATGTTATATTTTAGTCTAAATATACTGCCATCATTTACAATAATAATAATAATAATCAATGCAATATATAATTTATTTTTAGATAACTCATGTACATAAAGTAGTACATTGAATTGTTTAAAATTATCTGGCGCCATACATTAATGTATTTCTTTAAAAGTAGTCATTTATTAAGATATAAATATGTTATCTCCCTCTATACCCTATTTTCATAATCTCTAGCTATATACTAAAATAATTACCTATTTTTCTAGTCAAAAGGATTTTTCTACATTCATCCATTATTTGATGTTCAATACAAAGTATTGTCGCCGTTCCGCTTTAATTCATCAGCCGTAACGTTTGAAGACATGGAATAATGTACCTTTCTCCTTATCCCCACTATCAGACAATAGATATAACAGTTATCAGCGTGACCAGCCAACCGCTGCAGTTTCCTAGTCACCTGGTGTTAGATACGAGCTGTCTTCCGGTAAACCTTCTCTACAACTTTATTATTGTTCATCGTTTTCATAATAATGAATTAATAAAAAATATATAACGTTTATTCGTAAATCGATATCATTATTGTTATTATTATTAAATCAATTACTGCCACTATCGACAATATATGCAATCATATTTTCTGATAACCTATCGAATTTCATACTCACGGCAATCATTTTCTCTCTGTTACCCGCAGTAATATTATGTTGTGTTGCCGTAAATTTTGTTACGAAACATTGTTTGAATTTAAATTTTTTATTTCGTGCGAAGAGATTACCAAATGTGAATTTAATATTTGATGAATTCTAAGTACGACTACAGATACTGCTGTCGTCATGTTAACGACAGAGGACGAATCGTCGGTGAAGGTAGCTGTGAGGTAAGTTTTTCAGTATTATTGAGTTACCTAATCCAGCCAGATACTATTTTAAGTTTTTTGCTGAATACTTTCGTATAATTTTGATAGCTAAATATTTTTGAATGCACCTTGAGAGAATAAAATTTTAAAATATTTATGTACGTCAGAAAAGCAAATAAATTTGGTTGGTCACGGCCTACCTTGATTTTCCTTAAGTGATACAATAATTTACTTTGAACCGTGTGGCCTTCGCTGTTTATAGCCAAAACATTAAAACCCATCTTTTCTATGAATAACAAGGAGTGGCTAAAAAGTAAATTTTTATGTGGGGGACTAATGTAGTCTTCCCATATATGGAGATAAGGAGGTAGCTCATTTCCTTTTTGTTTTACATATTGTTTTTGAATTATTTGTGGTCATTCTAATATAAAAATAATTTTTAAATAGAATACTAGATAAATTAATTCTGATTAGAGAAAAAATATTACTAATTAAGATGTAATTTTTAATATAGGATACGGCCTCAAATCGCCAGAGAGGTGATTGATGGTTGTAGAATTTGTACAAATGTTACCCCTGGAGAACCCCAAGTAACATTAGGTTCTGACAAATCATTTACTTATGATTATGTGTTTGACACACATGAAAACCAACAGACGGTCTATGATAGTTGCGCTTCGAGTCTCGTAGTTGGTGCTTTACAAGGTTATAATGCCACAATTCTTGCATATGGCCAGGTATAAAAAATTGAATATTCAAAATGATATATTTAAAATTCAAATTTATTTGCCTAGACTGGTTCTGGTAAAACTTACACTATGGGTACTGGTTTTGATTTGGAAAACGTTGATACTTCAGATCCGTTCACATTAGGTATTATTCCTCGAGCTATTCATCAATTATTTGATGGTATTCAAAGTATTAAGCAACAATCATTAGACAATGGTGATCCAGCACCTCATTTTACTGTTACTGCCCAATTTTTGGAACTTTATAATGAAGAAATCATTGATTTATTTGATACAACAAGTGATTATTCTCTCTCTAAAGTAAGTATCAAATTCACTATTTTCTTTTTTGTTATACCGTTTTACTTTATGTGTATATTTTTTAGGTTAAAAGTGGTATTCGTATTCATGAAGACATGCAGCATAATATTTATGTAACAGGAGTTTCATGGAAAACTATCAACTCAGCAGGTGAAGCTTTATCAAATTTACGTCAAGGTGCATTATCACGTACAACTGCAGCTACTGAAATGAATTCACAATCTTCCAGAAGTCATGCTGTTTTTACATTAAATATTCAACAGAAACGATTTGTTAAGCATGAAGTAAATTTATATTTGAAATTTTTTATATTTTATAATTATTCTTTTTTAGTTAACAATAAATAAAAAGTAAAAATATAGGTAGTGATGTAAAAGATATATTTTTTATTCATAAAATTAAAAAAAAAAAGTTTTTTTTTACATTTTTAGATATAAATATAAAATACTTGCACGTTTAAATAAGAAAATAAAAATAATATATAAATTAATCAGTTATATTTCCAAGGAAATATTTTTCCTACAGTTAATTAATTAATTTTAAACCTTCTTAAAAAATCGGTCCATGAAACAATATTTTAGAAGCTGTTTTATTTTTTTAAAAGAATTTAATTTTATCATATTATAGATATTATTGAATGCATTGATTGATTAATTGTTTAATTGATAATTGAATACATTAAGTACTCATAGTAACTGTCAGTAATTGTTCCTTTTTATACTATACATTAAATAAAAATATTAATTACATTAATTAAATAATACAATTTTAGGATGAAGGCACTGAGTCTACATTAGAAGAATGTGGAACAAATTCTACTAGCACTAAAAATAATGCTGGTGAATTTGAAACTCTTACTGCTAAATTCCATTTTGTAGACTTAGCAGGATCTGAACGATTAAAAAGAACTGGTGCAACTGGGGATAGAGCTAAAGAAGGAATATCAATTAACTGTGGTCTTTTAGCTTTAGGAAATGTGATTTCAGCTTTAGGTGATAAATCCCGAAAAGTTTTACATGTTCCTTATAGAGATTCCAAATTAACTAGATTACTTCAAGATTCACTTGGAGGTAATTAAAAAAAATACAGTAGATAAGCAAATTAATAATGTAAACAAAATTTTCAGGTAACAGTAGAACAGTTATGATAGCATGTGTTTCACCAAGTGATAGGGATTTTATGGAAACTCTAAATACCTTGAAGTATGCAAATAGAGCTCGTAATATTCAAAACAAAGTTGTTATTAATCAAGACAAGTCATCTAGAACAATTCAACTCTTACGTCAAGAAATTCAACAACTTCAACTTGAAATTATGGAATATAAACAGGTTTGTCTCCAAACTTAGTAATTATTTTTGAATTAATAAATAAGAGAAATTTTTTAAATGGTTTAGGGTAAAAAAACTGTTAACGAAAATGGAGAAGAATGTGTTAATGACACTTATATTGAAAATACAATGTTGCAAACTGAATTGAGTAATATGAGAGCTCGAATTAAAGCTTTACAAGAAACTATAGATGTGTTAACTTCTAAAAACACTCAGTTATTAGCTGAAAAAGCTACAGGAGCCTGGGTAAATACAGATGCAGGATTAGAAACTAACATGTCTGATGTCATACAAGGTTATTTAAAAGAAATTGAAGACCTTAGAGCTAAGTTATTAGAATCTGAACATCTATGTGGACAGTTACGTAAGAATGTATCGTCTCCAATCAAAAATCATTTTACAAATTATTCAAATAATGATGAGTATACTTCTAAAGAATTAATTGCTAAAGCAAAACTGGAACTTGAAAATGAAAAACGAACTCTACAACGTTTAATTTCAATAAAATCTCGTGGATCAGAAACTGACTCAACTAATAGTGATGGTTTGGAAAAAATATACATGCTAACGTGGGAATGTTTTAAGCTAATAATTTTTTAAAACAATTTAAATTTAATTACATTTTACCAATTAATTTTTCTGGCTTAATATTGGATTTACTTTACATATATTATTTCAAAACACAGATAATTTTAAGTGTCATTAGTATTTAAACTGATAACAATGTTTGTAGTGTAATAGTTATTTATTCATAATGTATATTTAGGATAAAGAAATGGTTTTTTTTCACACACTAAGATAACAGCTAAGAACATGGTCTTTGTATCTATAGCTATTATGGTTAATTTATTACACAATTTTTTTTAGAAAGTGAAGATAACTCTTCAGATGATGAAAATGAATGTGCAAGTGTTGATAGTCAATACAGTCAAGAACTAGCAAATTTGACTTCTGAAATCAATTTAAAACAAAAACTTATTGAAGAATTAGAACTTTCACAACGGAGGTTAGCTAATTTAAGGCAACACTATGAAGAAAAATTACAGCAACTTCAAACCAAAATTAAATTAACACAAGATGAACGAGATACTGTTTTGTCTTCACTTGGTAATTACAATTAAGTAGCTTTTATTTGTATGTTAAACATGATTTTTTATTATTAGCTAATTTTCATCTAAATACTCTGAACTTTAATATTAGTTTTTTTATTTAGGTAATAGTAATACCAGCAATCAATCAGAAAAAGTTAAAAAAGTAAAAGATGATTATGAACGAAAACTTACTACCATGCAAAAAGAATTAAAATCTTTACAGTCGGCCAAAAAAGAACATGCTAAATTATTACGTGATCAGTCTCAGTATGAGAATCAAATAAGAACCCTCAAATATGAAGTAAATGATATGAAACGATCTAAAGTTAAACTTATGAATAAAATAAAAGAAGAAACTACAAGACATCACGAGGCAGAAATGAGAAAAGCTAAGGAAATAGCTCAATTAAGAAAAGAAAGTAGAAGAGCTGAAATTAGGATGCGGAACCTCGAATCTAAGTCACGTATGCGTGATGTTGTGTTAAAAAGAAAACAAGAAGAAGTTACAGCACTTCGTCGAGCAGCAAGAGCAATGAATAATAGTAAGATAGGTGCATCTAGTAATAAATATAATCAAAAAAATTCTAAGCAAACATGGATAAACTTAGAAAAAAATATATCTGCTCTGACACTCAATAAACAAACACTGTACTCTTTAGAAAAAGACATGGAAAGGTAAAAATATAATTAATTATTTTCCTTTATTTATTGTTAATATAATATTTATTAATGTTATTTATATTTTAGGTTATTGCAAGAAAGAGTGAGATTACATTCAGATTTGGATTTTAAATTAAAAAAACTGGCTGATGCTCAAGTGCAACAACCACGTGATAGTAATCTTCATCGTGACTTAGAAGATGAAATAGAAGCTATTCGCGCCAATTTAGATTATGTTGATGAAAATATCAAAGAACTGCAAGAAAATATACTTCAAGTTGAAGATTCTAAAGTATGCTAAAAACTAGATCTTTTCAAAGTTACACAAAATAAGTTGTCTAATAATATTAATGTAATAATAATTATGATATATTATTTTATAATTAAAATTTTATAGGTGGCAACTGAGAGCTTAGAACTAAACAGTCACTTGAATAACCTTCCAGATGCTATTTATATCCTTGAAAAACTTTATCAAATGTCTTTACATAATTCTTGTTTGGCTGCTCAAAAAGATATAAGTGTAAAAGAACTTGAAACAAAAATGCAACAAGTATTTCATAAGTTATTTTCTATTATGTTTTTTATAAATATTTTAAAATAATAATAATTTGCAATAATAATATAAAATGTAATTAAATTAGATCTTAAATATACATTAACCATAATGATAAAATTAGATGATTTGTTTTCTAGCTTGAGAAAGAAAATGAAATACAGAGACAATTAATTGAACATATGTTGTCTAGTCGAGATCGTATGATTGACTTACCAATTAGTATGACTACTAGTAGCGAAAGAGATATAAAATCAGTTATAAGCTCTTCTTCATCATCTCGTTCTATATCTCCTACAGAAATGACGTAGGTTATAAAAAACATTAGTTACATTAAAATATGTATAAATTATTATTAATTTGCTTATTAATGCATTAGAACTAGTACAAGAAGTGATACTGGAATAAATAAGCATAGACGTAGAGCAGCTCAAGCACAAGAATTACTATTTGTCTCTAAAAGTATTGAACCACAACAAACTCAAAAAATCTCTTTAGTTCGAGTACCTAGTGCATCATCATTTTTAAGGTAATTATTAAAATTTTTCATAAAACCCTATTTTCTAATTATATTTTTATTTTAGACCTGATAAATATCGCCCTTCGCCTGTTTTAAGTAGAAAACAAGCAGAAAGACAAGAATCTGTATCACCTCGTCTTATAAGACGAGGAACCTTTATTGTTGCTCCTAATACCAATTTATTATCCAAACCTGGTTCAATGTGAGTGCTTCTACTAATAATTAACTATTTTTAATAAATTTATATTTATGACAAAATTTAATATTAATAAATAATAGATTCATAGGTGTTAAAATATAAACACTTAATACATCTTGTGCACAATTGTAACTTAACTAATTTTTTGGTGTTGGTGCTTCTAATATACAATATCTAATAGGGATCGACTTAACAAAAGCCCTCCAAATTCACCACCTTCCCATCGGCGAGTTGTTAGCCGCGATGAAAATGTGTTTTCTAGACTTACATCTAGTACTACACAATCTATTGAACAGCACCGATCAAAAGGAGTTATTCATCCATTTCAAGGAAAAGTCAGTTTTGATTAATATTATTATTGTTTATATTCAAAAATAAACTAAAATTATTTTTCACTTTTAGACATCAATGAAAGCACCCCTAAGTTGTACTCATATTACAGAAGGTCATTCTAGAGCTGTGTTAGCTGTTTATGCTATTGATGATTTATTGTTTAGTGCTTCAAAAGGTCAGATTTAAATTGATATAGGCTTCATAAATTTTAACTCAATTTTTTTATATACATTAAATATTATGATTAAATTTTAGATAAGACTGTAAAAATCTGGGATTTAAATAGTGGAAAAGAAATTCAAACCTTAGGTGGCCATCCTACCAGTGTAGTTGCTATAAAATATGATGAATTTACACATCTCGCATTAAGTGTTAGTTCATCATATATAAAAGTTTGGGATATTCGGCTCTCAAGATGTATTAAAACTTTAAAGTAAATATTTATTAATGAACAATAAATTTCAATTATTTTCTAATCATATTTATTATAGTTCCTCAGGTATTGTAAATAATGGTTCGGTAATGTCTTCGCAAATACCTGTAGGTGAAATTTTATTAAATGATATAGCATTAAACAATTATGGACGTACACTTTATATGGCAACTGGAGATAAAGTTAAGATTTGGGACATGAGAAAGTAAATAAATAATTTATATAAATACAATGTAATACTACTTTTTATAAATCAATGAGAAAATAAACCATCTATCTCTAATCTTCAAATATATTTTATCAACCTAAAACTTGTTTTAAATAAATTGGATGTCAAAAAAAAACTACTTTGTACAACTTAAGAACAGACCAATTGAATCTAAATTATTAAAATTACAACATTTTGACCCCCTCACTTGGGTAAATAAAACACTTAAATTAGCTATTGACTGTTAGTTAATTTTGTTCACAATCTTTGGTAATCTTCACTTAATATAAACAATCAACAACTGGTGTAGGTATAGAGATAATGTAAACTTTGAACCAACTTTTGTATTACAATTGATCTGTTTTTATATAGTACATAGTTAAATGATTGTATTGTAGGTATTCATAATGTAACAATTAAAATATAATATTTTTAATAATTAATATTTATTTTAATTGATACTGTTATAAGTAAAAACATTATATATTACTTTTGTATCTAGATTTACAGTTTGTGGAAAACTCAGTAGTGGTCATACAGCTGCTGTAATGTGCTTAGCAACAGGCCGATTTGATAATAAAAATATTATTGTAACTGGATCCAAAGATCATTATATAAAAATGTTTGAAGTTGATGATGAAGCTGTTGGAACGTATAATCCCACAGTTAATTTAGAGCCACCTCACTATGATGGTATACAATCCTTAGCTATTCATAATGAAATTCTATTTTCGGGATCAAGAGATTATGCAATTAAAAAGTGGGATTTAAATAAGCAAGAGCTTGTAACTGTAAGTTAAAAATTAATTAAATTTTTACTTTTATTTTGTACTAAATATATTGCTGTTGAATTGTTTTTGGGTTGATTTAGTCAATTAATAATGCTCACAAAGACTGGATCTGTGGTTTAGCGTTTGTTCCTAATCAACCATTACTTTTGAGTGTTTGTCGAAGTGGATCATTAAAGATGTGGTCTGAATCAACATGTGCTCTCCTTGGAGAAATGAAAGCACATGACTCGCCGATTAATGCAATTGCTACCAACTCATCTCATGTCTTTACTGCTGCTCAGTATGTGTTTATTCTTATGATATTAGTATATACTTTATGTAGTGGTGGTATGGTGGCGGGACATTTTTGCATGTGGTTTGTGTATGCAATGATTTCAGCCATGGAGAAGTGAAGATGTGGCGTGTACAAAATGTTTCATTCATAATGCCCTATGACAATGTCAACAGGTCATTTGTTCAACATGGACATATGAATTTTTGATGTAACAACTCACCATCTCAATTTGTGTACAACTTCATTAATTAGTATTAATATTTATTTACTATATTATTATTCGGTAATGGATGCGCACAAAGGACCAAAAAATTTGAGTGCATGAGCAGTATCTTATGTCCACCCTACTCAGAAGCAGTCTTATAAATTTTTGTAGAGGGATATATATATAAATTTTGCGAAGTCTTCAATTTTTTCAATTGAAGACTTTAATTTATGACTGTGTCAACAAATTTAGTTAGGTTAGTGAGTCACCTTTCCCCATTGGACCACCTCTCACTCTATTAATAACTAAAACTATTACTATATTAGATAATTATTTTTGACATTCAACTTTTTCATTATCAAACTTTTTTTATTTTGCTTTTTTTCATATATAGTAAAAGATTTTACAGTTTTTTTATACACATAATTATGACTTCTATTCTTTTTTAAATCATAATTTATCCACTTTTAATTATTGCTTCTTGGATTGTATAATAGCATGTTATTATTTATTTAAGCTGCTTAAAACAAAAAAAATATATAAATTTGTATGACTTATTAAAAAGAAAAACTTGTTGAATTATTACCAAGTTTATATATGAAAAATAAAGAGAATAAAAATTAGTTATTTTTAAATAATAATTTATACAAATTTACGCATCTTAGTTCCTTAATCTAACCACCATTTATTCTCTCAGTATTACACAACTAATGTTAGTTTTGTTCTTTTGATACAGATAGCATTTTAATGCGATAAATGTTTTTCTATTTTCATTTGTGTTACATTTTTGCTACTTTGCTTAACGTTTTGCTTCATGAGTAATTTTTTAAAACTATTTCTTGATTTTAAATTATAAATAAATTTTTTACAAGTTTTTATTTTTTTTTACTTGTTGCAATATCACTTTTTTTCATATTTCAATTATATATTGTTTGATATAAATATGTTAATTCTACAAGAAACAATTTAATATTTTCAGTGATGGGGCGGTGAAGTTATGGCGTGTTAAATGTCGGTTGGATGCAATGGCTTGACGGATGGTTTTTCTCTTAATAATGTTGTACCAGTACGTTGGGATAATCATTTTAGTCATTATTGTATTGGTCGGCGATTTTATTTCCTTGGTGTATGACATATTTTTTCATTATTCTTATTGAACAAAATCTATCTAGCAATCTGTGATATAAATCTAAGAATCTCTAATCTGCTGAGCAAGTTAACATTGTTCCTTATAACTTAGTTCCAAAGATTTAATATTTAAAAAAACTAATTAATATGATTTAATAAGGTAACAAATATTTAAATTTTTTAATTATTATTAATTGTTTTAAATTTTATTACTGATGAATTTTTTAATGATTAATTTTTACTAACCGCATGCCTTTTAATTTATTATGAAGAAAATGCTCATATTTATTTTATCTATAAACACTTAATAATATTTTACCATTAATATTAATGACTGCAATGTTAATTTATGATAGAACATAATACCCAATACTTTGTACAATACTCTGTTATATTATAATTGTCAATTAAAACTGATCAAAGCAATAAATAATAATAGTTGAGAAATGTAAATATATAAAAATATAAAATAATACTACATTTATAGTATTACAAATAAATTATTATTTTTTAAAAATGTTTTTTGATTTACTTAGCTACAATAAATTTACATTCTATATAATTAAATATAAACGTATGTATATATATTTTACACATACTTATTGTATACTGTCTGTTATAAAATAAATATTAAAAATTAACAAAATAAATTTAAAATAATACATTAAATTTCAATTAAAATCTAAAATTATAATGAAATATCACAGAAATTTAGATACTTTTTATTGAAGTATAATCAGAAGTTCATAAATTTTGAGCCACAAATACATGACCAAAGTTATTGTATGTGTATGTTCTATTTAATAACAACTCTTTAATTTTAATCCCTGAAATAATCTAAAAAATCATTTGGTAAATATAAATAAGATTAAATGAAATACTTTTAAGTGCTACCTGAAGTCCATGATTTAATGCAACCATAGAAAATACTGCTTTGGTTGATGCATATGGAGGTACTAGTCCCAAACACATACCAGAGATCATGGTCCAAGCAAGATTATTATTTTCTTCATCATTTACTTCAACTATAAGTTGCATATCTCTATTTCTAAAAAAATTAAAAATACATATCAAAAATATTTCATAAAATAGTTGTAATTAGGAGGATCAATAAATAAATTATATAATATATAATTTAAAATTTAAAATATTTTTAATTGTAAATAATATCAGCTCTAAGTGATTAATTCTTATACAATATATGTTATATATTGTTTTTATTATATTTAATGTAATTTAAATTTCATCTTTTTCTTCACCTTAATCTCAATTACTTGGGGTCAGCCACCCTTATTCTAAACTTCCACTTATCACAATCTCCCACATCATTTACGCTCACATCAGCCGTCCTAATATTGCATTCAATTACATCCCTCCTTCTCTTTTTTGGTCTTCATCTACCTCTTCTTACTTTAATTTAATTTTTTTGTACATTAAATTAATATTTTAGATCACAAATAAATAACCCAATGTTTATTTGTAAGATTTTTTCAACCTACAGAATCAAGTACAATCCAATATCTAGACATTGTAATATATACCTTAAAAAAAAAAATAAAACTAATATTTTAAAATGATTTTATCAAGTACATAAAGTAATTTAACATGATAACTATTGTGTATTTCATTTATTTACTTAATGCTTACAAGTTTTTTAAGTTTAAACTATTTTATTATAGAAATTTTGTTTTTATTTGACACGTTTTAATTTCTGTGTAATATTTACCTATTGTTTTTAATTGAGCAACTAAAGTTAAATTGTTCTTCGCATAATACCATCTCTGGTAACTGTGTAAGCGAAAATGTAATATCATCCAATTCTGGAATCTATAAATTCAAATTTTTTTAACAAGTAAAATAAAGTATGTTATTAATAAAAACTTAATAAATATTTTAATAAAAATTATAATTGATGGTTTAATAATGATGCGAATTCAAAACTAAATTAAAAAAAAAACCAGCATAGTGGGGTTGTAGCATAGTTGAGACAAGTATAGAAATGATTTCTGATGGTTAATTAAAATCACTATTATAAAAAAACACTATGACGCAAATCTGTAAATAGTGTTTAATTTTTAAAAAGAATTTGTGAATTATATTATCAAATGCAACATTAGGTCCTATTTCCTAATATTATATTATAATTACAATTTTTATGAAGTCATCAGAACAAATTTTTTCTTTAACTTTTAGTATATAACGTGAGCTTTAATTTTTGATATGTTTAGACAAAAAATAAACATATCATGGTAACACTAATTTTCAAAAATAAAAAATTACATTTAGTTATTTATTTGTTGAATTAAAAATAATTTAGATTGACAAATTTTCTTTGCATAATATATCGGTAAATTTGTTATCAAAGGTTTAAATTTTAATAGTTAATAGGACATTTTTATAATAACAATGACAAATTATGATTAATTAGCAGATTTTATTTTAGATTGAAAAGTTCTGATCGTTATATCTGTTACTATCATATTAAATGTAAGTTAAAAATAAAAACTTGTGCATTTATAATTACCATAATTTTTTATAATTACATTTATTCATTCTAACCTTAATTAATTGATAATAGAAGGCATATTATAGACTTAGCAGCCCATAAACAAAACTTTTACTATTCTTTTCAGCATATTAATTTAATTTTAATTTGTACATGAATAGTATTTTATAAACATTTTTTTTCAATAAGACCTACAATTCAAGGCATAACTTGCTGTTGAAATAAATCAAATTTTAGTTATAATATTGTATATTGTACATGCCTTTTTTTTAGCATTAAACTAACCACTTGTCTCAGAATACCAATATTAAGAACAATTTTCTTTAGAGGAGGCTACTATTACCATTAATGGGATACAAAAATGAAAAAAAAAAATATTATATTGTACTAAATAAATAATATTAACCTGGCGAACTAAAGGACTTGACTGTATTTGACCTTTGGTTCCCATATTAGATCTCCATAAAATATCTAATTTGCCAAGATTGTTTGTTCTTGATGGTTGCTTTTCAGAATTTTGATCATAACACAGCCTATACATGTACTGTCTAGTTTCTTTTACATCCAACAAATCTAAATCTCCAAATACAGATTTATTGTAAGGAGTTTCCAATAATTGGTTCATTGAATGGACTAAAAATTATTATTGAAAAAAAATTAACATTTGATAAAAAATTGAGTATTTTTAAATGCAATAAAAAATCAGTCATGTTTCATTTTTAAATTAATCAATCACCCTTATTTTATTTTTTGATAAACCTTTTTTATCATTCAATTATTTAGGATAACATGAAAATAATATTTTGTATAATATCAATTCCGTATACTTAAAATTAATTACCATTATATCCAACAGAAGGTTCTAAGTTAAATTTCTCTAAAGTAATTGGAGTAGACATTATATTTTGTACTTGTACTTCAAGATAAACTTCATCAGTCTAAAATATGTAAAAATTATGTAACAAATTCTAAATATTTAATATTTAACTAAAATATTTATTTAATAATTATTCCTATCATGTATAATAACTAATTTGATTATTATATTATGAATTTAATAAGTAAAAATCTTCAAGGTAACCTTAAAATGGAACACAAATACTTAGGAAATGATTTTATATTATTTGCATTAGTTCTAAAATATTTTTTAAAATATATAATCCCTCCAGGAACAAAACCTTTGTTACACCACTGATAGACCAATAGTCATTATTGTAAACAATTTTTTAATGTAGATTAAAAATATCACTAATTTTTTACAAAATAGTAGCAAAATTTTGTTTTTAATTTTAATAAATCTTAAAATATTTTAAGTTATACATACCACAGTATTATAAAATTTAGTTTTTAGATCAAGTGGTTTTGGAACTCTGTAGCTAAAAATAGTTTCAAATGAATGTTTTCTATCATACTCCACTTGACAAATTAATTTACTGTAAGAAAAAATATGACTTATAACAAAGCATTTTATCTATTAATAATAGGCAAGATTAATATAAAATCTATTTTATAAAATTGTATGTGTTATAAATTAGTAGAGCAGTATCAACCTCTCTTTCAGTAGTCGGCATAAAAATTATTTTTTACATCACATATCCTAATTCTAATTTTATTTATAAAAAAATCACAGTAAAAAATATCTAGTCCCTCCAAAAATGTTAATCCATTATTTTTTTCATTAACAACTTAGTTAATGAATGGACAAAAGTTTACCCATTAAATAATTTATAGCATACATTATTTCAATATTTCTTACTATTTATTAAGAGAATTAAAGATAAAACCTTAAAAATAAAAACTTCTTTAGTGCTAATAAAAAAAAGTTAAACTTATAAAACAAAAGGTAAAATAAATAGAAACTAACTCATTTAAATATAGATGGACTATATTTTGTCATCAATTTTATACACTAGATATTTAAATATTAGTTTTATAAGATATAATTTACTTGACACTTCCGTGTTCTTTGACTTCATGTTTAACAATAACATCAATAGAAGCATAAGGATCTAATTTAGAAAAAGTTTTAGGACCTAAAATTGGTATATGTGATGTAGCTGTATCTATTTCTGCTTTTAATACAATATCATAAATAGTTTGTGCACTTTCATTCTTTAAATATACATAACATAGGAATGTTTCTCCAAGATACAAATTTCTGAAATTAAACATTAAATTACTTGTTGCATAAAAATAATTGTTTTTTCTTAATAGTTTTCTAATAATAAAATATTAATATAAAAATGTCAATTATTTTTAGATCATTTTATAGTAAAAGCTTAAAAATAAATTTAATTCTTCTAAATACACAATGAATGTATGAAAAATATGCATTTTTACTTACTCTAAAACATTTGGAACCATTAAAAATGACCCAGCTGCTAATGTTTCAGAGTTTGATAATGATGTAACATCATTTTTTAATTGCTCATTTAATATGGTTCCCGGTAAATCTTCAGGATCACAAGCTATTACTTTAGAGTTACACATAACTGGCTTACCAAGACGCATAACTAGTTACCATAATATAATTTATTAAAATACACATAATAGTATTATAACCTAAAGAATTTTTTTATTACCCCTCAGTTTAATTGGATGTTCAATAACTTCTTTTACTTCTATGGATGTCATTATACACTAGTTTACTTTAATTATTTTATTATCACTAATTGGTTCTTACTTAATTACAAATGTTTTTGACAATGAGGACTGTCACGAATAATAGTTTTGTTATAACATTGTTGATAATGCTTATCAAACAATTATAAACTGTTAAAGATCATCTGTGTCGGCACAGTTAATTTAAAGCATAGAATTTACAGTAATCAATTGTAGTATTCCAAATAAAAATTTAATTTTGTAATTTAAATTATATAAATATATATATATAATCAGCTAAAAATAAAATTAAAGTAAAGAGATTTAAAAAAAATTATCCATTTCGATGCATCCAGCAATACTTCTCAAAAGTTTTACTAATGGACTTAAATCTAGTAATTTATCCAATGTTGACGTATTCGGATTATTGTGTAGTAATGCTATGAGAGTAAGTACCGCGAAATTAGTTCATCATAAAAGCTTTAACAATAGTAAAACATCAGTACTTCCAAACAAACATAAAAATTCATTTCTAATATCAAACCGCTGCTACTGCAAAGATTACAGGCCATTTCCACAAGTACCAGAATTTCCTCCAATTATTTGGCCAAATTTATTAAAATCAATTAGTAGTTGGCTGTATGCTTATATTGTTATCAAACCTCAATATGACAAAGGTTTTAGTTTAGTGGAATTCTCCAATAATTCTAAAAAGGTAATTTAATTTTTTCTATTAATAAATTGACATATGATTCAATAAAAACTAACTATACTTTTAGGCTGTTGAAGTAGTATCAAGAAGCATTGCTAGAAGGGATTTTGAAACTCTTGAAGGTTTAGTGACCAGTGATGTTCTAGAACAAGTAAAATCTATTGTTTCCAACCTTAATGATGATGAAATTAGAGATATGGCTTTCAAATCAGAAGATATGTATTTTTATTTTCCATATCAAGTTGATATTGTAACTAATGAACAATGTAATTATTCTTTTTAAAATTTTTTCAAATTTACTCCATTGAGTTCAGAAAATAATGTATTCAGTTTTAAATGAAATAAAAACAGTTTTTTCAATAGCAAAAATATTAAAGGTCTCTTTAGTAAGAAAATTCAACAAATTTATCAACTTATTTATTTAAGACAAGATAGTATTTTAATAAATACATATATTTTTTAAAATTTTTTATAAATTATGTTATAAACTTAACATATATTTTTTCTGACTACCATCACATTAAAAGTTATATACTTAAAAATATAATTTTATTTTTCAGTGAAGGATAGACGTTTTATTGAAGTGACCATGTGTTATCATGCTATTCATAATTTAGAAGAAATTAAAAAACGAAATGAAGATATGGAAGATATACAAAAAGAATTAAAAAGTAGTATTTATGTTTTAAATTATAGATTTATACGAGAGTATTCTAAAGGAGTTGAAGATGCTTGGACTGTAAATGCTATTAATCATTTGAAAGCTGAAGAACATGACAAGACTATGTTTTGATATACAAATATTTTAGCTACAATTTATTTCTAAATAAATTGTATATTGTATATTTAAGAATAATTTTATCAATATTTGTTTCTGTTTCATAATTAATTATTTTGTGGATCTTATCATATATATATATATATTAAATAAATTAATAATACATTTAAATAGTAATTATTTTTGTAATACTTGTATGGTGAGTTAAAGAACCTAGCTAGAAAATAAAACAGAGTTGAATTTCAGTTAAACAAAAACATTGAGTAATAGAGTTTTATTTAATCTATTTATATCTATATATGCAAAAATTTGACTTTCTATCTCTTAAAATTTTTTGGTAACTTATTATATAATATATATATATACATTAATTCCATCCAGCCTAGGGGTGCATTACTCTCATGTCCCAGTAATCGGGCCACCTTCAGGTTTTTCAATCTGAAAAGTGTAGAAAAATGGCTTGGAAAATCTTTGCTATTAAAATTTTAACTTGAATACACAAATTATTATTTATTTCATAGCTTAAATAGTTTTTTACCTATCAAATATTTTTTTATTTAAATAACTACTAATTAAAATATTGATGAGTGTTAATTCAAAAAATATCAAAATATTATATCAATTTGATATTAAAAAGACTTTAACTTAATCCAAAGCTCAGGCATGAACTTTTGGTTTAAAAGGTAGTATTAACATATATTTTTTCAATATTATAATTTTAAATTGGTTTACCATTGTTTAATCAAAGAGTGTACTAGTAAGATTAATAATGCAGTTAAAAATAGAGAAAGAATTTTTAGTTCAATTTATAATAATCAAAATAAAAACTCACTTGAAATTTAATTATTAAATTTTCTTACATCCTATTTTGAAAAATACAATAAGCAAATTTTTTTCTTAGAAATTTTATTTGTATTTACCATACAACTTAATATCATTTAATAAAAAAAAATGTTCACAAATAAATTGAACAAATTTTTAACAACAATCATAACATAATAAAATGTACAGTATAAATAGTCACTAATTACATATATAAATTTTAAATATATTATATATATGGCTTCAGAAAAAGGGTTTATTTAAAATACAATTGACATTTTTTTTAAATGAAGTGTTAATTAAATATAAATATTAAACATTTAAAATTAAATAAATATATTACTTTTATTTTAGTTTCAAAATACAGCCATAACATGACAAAATCTTAAAAATATTGATGAATTATGAAAAACTATATTATTTAGATATTAAATTCAAGTCATATATTTTAAAAATATTGGTAAAAACTTTTGAAGTTAAAAACAATCCATTCTGGAATATTAGTATACATAATAAATATGTAACAATTATTCATTAAAAGATCATTGGATTGATTTATGTTATAACTAAATTTAGTCTTAATAACAGATAAGTATTTTAATACAAAACTATCTCAGAAGTAATTAAAAACATTAAATATATGTTAATAAATTACAATATGTCACATTAAATTTCAAATACTTAGAGAATTTCTGGTAACTACAGAAATGATCAATGATTGTATAAGTTAATGAGGAACATTATCCGTTGAACAATTATTCATTTCATTAATTAGATGGATGTCCTTATGGTTATGGCCACCTGCATTAAAATAGTTTAAACAATAAATAAAAGATTCAAAATGCATAACTTTATATTACAATAATAAATTGAAATGTTGATATAGAGGGTACAAATAAAAAAAAATTAAACCTTTTAGGAGAAATAATTTGCCTGACTATGGAAATTTGTTAAAAAAATTATTTTTTTTTAACATTAATACATAAAGTTGATTCAGTTTTTTCATTAGATTATTAGAATATATGTTAACTACGCTTCTATGAAAAAACAATATGATTAATTTTTTTTTATACTTAATAAGATTTCATGTTCATGACAGTATATAATAATTAGTGATGGGGATTTTCGAATATTTTAAACTATCAAATAGTATTTGATAGTTTTAAAAAACTATGGAATATCTATTCAAATTGTTTTTATACAACCGAATAGTGTGTTTTTAACATATACTATTAGAATAAACTATCGAATAGTTTTAAAAAATATTCGAATGGGCTAGCTAATGGTTTCAAAAAATATTCGATTAGTTTTATCTAAAATTTTTATTAAATACACTTAGTTATTATCGAGGTGGACATAATGCCCATGCACTCAGCCCTGTTGGTCCATTGTGCGCAATTAAATACACTTAATGTAATAAGAAGATAATTAACGAATACTTAAAATAAATTAATAATATTAAAAAGTACTATTTTACTAGTATTTCAGAAGTTATAGCATTTTAAAAAATGAACTGGGGTGAGTCGCAGGTATACATTAGGGTTGCTATTATTTTATTAACTTTCATTGATCAATCTCCATACCCGCCAATTTTTTTTTTTTATTAAATGAAAGTTATTTGTGTAAAATTTGGTTTTCATAACTTGCCCCCTTCAGGTCCGAATCGGGGTGGAAATTTTGCTCAAAAAGGTAATTTTTCAATTTTTGATTACTATTTTTAAAACTAACACACTTAGCATAACAATGTATAAAATATAAATTATAGATTTTAATATTTTCTTCTAAAATGGTATTTACAAAAATTTTCTAAAATTCATTTTTTGAATAAAAATCATTCTTAATTTTCGAAATAATCATTTTACAACAAAATGTTTCATAAAAAAAAAATATGTTAAGTTAAATTTTCTAAAATATTGGTCTTATGTAAAATTATAGTCAGATTTATAGTTTTGCTGTTTTAATAACACTAACAATCTAAATAGGATTGTTTAAAACTGTATATTCGGGGTACTACGATTATAAATAGGATACAATTAATAAAAAAGTAGTGATGGGCATTTTCAAATATTTTAAACTATTGATTAACTATACGAATTGTGTTTATACCAATGAATATTTTATTTTTTAGCATAAACTATCAAATATTTTAAAAACTATTCCATTGGAGATACTGAATAATTTTAAAAACTATTTGAATAGACTATCAAATATTTTCTAAACTATTCGAATATATTGTGTAACTATCAAATATTTACACTATTCAAATATTTTTTGAATGACTATCAAATAGTTCAATAGTTACTATTCGATATTTCACATCACTAATAACAATAGTAGATAGTTTCATATAGATTTTTTAAGGAAGCTTTTATTTAAACTTTAGTATTTAAAAGTATTAAATGAAAAAACTTTTAAAAATAATTACCAATAATTTCTAATGTAACCATGAAAGAGAAACCGATCATGGTAAATAATAACTTGAGTAATCCCGGCGCAGTATCTTTTTTGCGTTCACGATCAAGTACTTCAAAAAAGGTTACATATAGAATAGTACCAGCAGCTAAACCTTGTAATGTAGCATTTCCAATTGTATGATAAGATTCATCAGAAGCAGACAAATTAAATGTCAAAATTGAGCCTAATAATATCCCTATAACAAAATATTTTCAAATTAATTTAAAATAGTTTTTTTAATCAATATTGAAACTTCAAAGATAAGATTTTAAATTAAATAATTTAAATTTTAATGAAATAACAGTTTCATAATTTATGAAGAATTAAAAATATATTTTTAGTTAATTTTAATGCAAGACTATTGCATAGACTATTGTCCATACTAATTGAAATAACAATGTTGTTTTAAGTTTTTATCTTAAAAAGACTAATTAGTATTTGTTGACATTAAGATTAACAATTATATTTTTTCAAAAAAATATGATTTTTAGATATAACTGAAATTATTTAAATTGTTTTCTTGTAAAATATGTTTTAAAAACATAAATATATAAAATAATGTTATATTATTTTTATAAATGCAAACATCTCTATTTATTTATTATCTTAGTTGATAAATTATTTTTTAATTGATGCCTATAAAATGTTTTCTAAACGGCTAAAACTTCCAATTTTTGATGTGAGTGTTCATAGTGGTGTATTCAAGAAGTCTAAAAGGTCTAATACTCTATTGATCATGTATTTTAGGTAAAAAATAACCAAAAAATCATTGAAAATTATTTGTGTATTAGCTCACTATAATAAAAAACAAGGAATGCCACTAAGTTTTCAGTATGGTTAGTTTTAAAACTAAATGAACAAAGATCTGTCAAGAAACAAATTTTTAAACCAACTAAGAAAATAAGAAAACCTTTTCAAACTTTAAAATTCAATTATCTCAGTATTACAATTTTTTTACTTAACTCCCTTTTGATCAAATTCAAATTAAAATCTTTAATTGTAAGTTAATCAATAGGAATACAAAAATCAATCATAAAATATTCATCAATTTTTAGTGATTATTTTAAAATGTACATTATTAATAAATATGAAAAATTACGTACCAAATGGTGAAACTAGTGTAAGAACAATAATATTTAATGTAATATTTGTAAATGATGAACAAGATGAAACAAGTTTCATGCCTATGCAAAACAATATGGTACACTCATGAATAGAAACTGCTAAAAATAAGAAACTCATATCATCCATATTTTCTTCTAAGCCAATAGCTAAACCTTCCATTACTGAATGAAAAGACAATGCTAAGACAACAAAGAGACTCCGTAAATTGTGAACATGTGACATCTCATTATTGTTATTTTTTTCTATTTGACAATCTGTAGTTTTAGGTCCTTGATCAATACTGACTGAGATAACATCATCAGTTGATTTGATAGCGCCAAGTTGACCATTAGTCCATTGTAATAATCTATCACATTGTCTGGCATTTCTTGCTTTACAACGTTTCCTATGTTTTTTAACAAAATGTTTAACAGATTCTTCAACAAAATATACAAGAAAAAATCCCATGCAGACAATGAGTTCAGTAAATGGATAGTGATGATGTTTTTCATCTAAATTGGTCGTTAAGCTTTCTCTTACTTCAGGTATTAAATGAGCAAAGCACGTAGCCAGTAACACACCTCCACCCAAACTTAAGCATAATGATACCAAATAATCTAACTAAAATTGAAATATTAAAATTAAATTAATATTTATTAAGGTAATAAATAATACCCAAACTATACCGTATTAGAATTAAAAGAATCAGTAGTTTTATTTTTAAAAAGTTTCCTAGATATTAGCAGTGGAGTAAAACCAAAAATGAGTCTTGAAATAATAGACAAAACTATAATTAATCCTTTTGCTGTATATATATCCATTTTTATCACTGCTAATTCTTACGCCTATATACTTTCTTATAATTTTTAACTTCAAGTGATGTAGAGATGCTTGCCTATTGGGCTTTTCTAAATTTTTAAAGCCCGTCTACTACGGCCACCACCAACACCATCGCACACAAAAACGCTTGCCGTTACATCGAGAGCATAATATCGGTCAATTGTTCACACACAAATAAACGATGTCAATTCATCTGACAGTGTAAGGACTTATCACGGTTGACAACGAATAGGAGTTATCTAAAGACGGACATAATTAACGGAATATTATAAAAATACAGAATATATGTATATACTATCGTACAATAAACGGATATTAGATACGGCAGTCGGTGTTCCTTAAAAAAGACATTATAGCGTAATTGAGGTTATCTGATATGTATATCGTCATGATATAAACCAAAGACGTTTGGGAAAATAACCTACTTTACCTCATATAATCTGAATACTGATATGACTGATGGAAATAAAAATATTGCAACCATATGAATTCTTGATGTTACACAAGTCTTTCTTGTTTGCTAAAAAAATATCGTTGATTGTTTTACTATTATAAATATTAACATATAGATGACAAATAACATCAAATAATAATTCACAAATCTAATAGAATCCTTTTTTATATAATAGTATTTAGCTCAGCAATGTTAGCATAGTAGGAGGAATAAATAATCAAATATTTAAAGATAAAGTTTAATTAATAGTATTTTAGGATTAATACGTGGTAAAATATTATTTTAGCGTTTAATTATATTATAATATCAAACTTGACTAATTAACAGGTTGTAATTAAGTAAAAAATAATTGTTAAAACTAAAACAATAGATTTCAAGACTAATTAAACAGGAAATTTATTAAATTTTTCATCATTTTATAATTTATGTGTACTAATACAGCAATATTGCAAACAATACATTAAAAAAAAATTAAAAGACAATAAATACAAAACAAAAAGTCAACTTGTCTAGTGGTGCAATTACAATCAGTTTTAAAATTGTGTCTCAAGTATAATAAAAGAGCTAATAAAGTAAAAAGTAAAATCTATAAAATATTAAAAACTATAAGGAGTGAGAGGTTAACGAGATGAGCAATAATGAAGATACTTTTTTGTTCAATTATTTAATATAAAATCACAGATAAAAGGATATTGAGTTGAAGCATTATTGAGATTTTTTTTTTAATTATTGGTACATTAAAAATAAAAATAAAATTATTAATATTATTTTTTAATGTGAATAAATACAGTTATAATATAATTTATATTTTAACTTGGCCGTTAACACAAACTCACGATCAATTGAATTAAAGATTAGATTACTTGTTGAATATTTTATGTATATAAGTATATAATTTTGCCTTACGTCAAGACATGTAATATATACGATTTTACGGTCTTTTTGTAGTAATTTGTTAGTATTTTTTTGAATTCGGTTAAATTATTATTTTCTTAAGATCAGTCTTTTATTGTAAAATGTACACTTTCATAAATTACGTAGTACATAAAATATCAAAAATCCTTTTTCTAAAATTTAGCAATAATTATGTTAAATTATTTTAAATATATTTTAAACTTGATTTTTAAATTTAAAGCAGAATAAGTTTGGTTATGGGGACTAAATAGATATATTTAGTGATCTATAATAAAATAAATATAGTAAATTTTGAGACATTTTAGCCAAGTACAATTAAAAAATATGGAGATCAAATAGGTTTATTTTTGTATAAAGAATTGCTATAAATCTATTACCCTTGTGCGGTTGTTCTCTCAGTCAGTCTTAATCGAGTATAATAAATAATAGTAAATAGAAAAGAATTCGCAAAGGACAAACAATTATTTTTTTTTTTTCTGAGAAAATTGATAATTATTCAAAAATAAAATATTTATAAAGCGATTTTTAGTATAAATTACAAATATAAATTTTTAATTCAAAAAATATTTTGTAAATTATTTGCAAAGAAATTCTAGACAATCCTAAAATAAATAACAATAACATCTATAGATAAACCGAATTTCTTTGAGTAATAGTACTATCATTTTATATCAAAGATATTAACTATTATTATATTATATTGTATTTTTACTATTATTATTATTATAGTAACTAATTAGTCAATCTCCATTTCAGAAATTTGTTGGGTAAAAATAAGCGTAATTTACAGAAAAAAAATTGTATAAAACTAAAAATATAAAAAGATATAAAGCTTTAATAGATGGCTTATTTATAAGCATTGAGTATAGATAATACAATCTATATTCAATATTTTAAGTCATTACTATACGTACATTTGACAAACTTTTACCTTTTAGGAGTATGAAATAAAATAATGTTCACGTAGTGTATACAGACTATTTAAACAATAAGACATATGTTGATAAATTTACTTATTACTAAAATATTCATAAATTTATTGAAAAATACTAGTTGATACTATCAAGTGCTTATGTAAAGGAAGTTAATGCTATGGAACAATTTTGTTTTTTTGGACTTTTCAGAGAATTTGAATAAAAATTATTTAGTGTATTTACAATATAAATAAATTTAATCGTTTTAATCGTATGTTTATTGTAGATATTATTTACCACTATTAACATACTGTCATTAAAGTGTCAAAAAATTACCAAAATAATCAATAACTGAATTTACTATATTTATTATTAAATGGCGACGAATTATAAGATTGAACATGGATATCTTGGAATAAATTTGAAAGTTATACAAAAATCGAAAACATTAAATAAAATACATTATTATTAATTAAAATAAATTATATATAATTATAATATATATAAAAGTACGGAAATTTAATTAAGATCTTTAATAATTATAAAAAATAATTTATATTTTATATTTTTAAGTTCTTAGACATGTAACCTAAATTATAAAATATAACAAATCACCTGTTTAAGAAATTAACGTAATAGATATGATTAATTTACCTTAGCAAACTATTAACTTCGTGTAAAAAATAGTTATTTGTCATACAATATACTCAAAGCACTTTTAGAATTTCACTAAAGATGCATATTTAACACAGCTGATTATTTATGTTATTAAATTAAGTATTTTATAATCGTAGATACTATTTACAAGATTATTACATCGATACTTATTTATAATCAATAGAAGATGGTGTAGTGCAAACATTAAATACAATATATAACTACAATTTTGTTAACATCTGATTCATAATTGTGAAAAAACTTTATATTAATTGTTTTATTTTTTGATTGGAGGAACATTTGAAATTATTAAATAATAACTTATATTATAAACGTACTCTAAAGTATTAGAACTCAGGGACGTAGTTTATGCAATAAGTTAGAAGTCCTAATATAAATTATGTATGTATATTCCGTACATAATAAGAATTGACAAGTCCAATGATACACGTAGGTTTTACAACTACGCATCTTGAACAATATCAATTTTTTTCTTGACTTAATTAGAGCTGTATTTAGGAATTAATTTAGGTCATTGAGGACCTTTTTATTTTGCTATTCAAAAGATTTTTTTCTCTTTTTTAAGTAGTCATTAAATTAAATAATTTAGTTAAATTTTGACAAAATATGACCAACAGTATACTTAAAAATAAATAAATAAAATGAATTTATTGCAATAAATTTTGTTGAATAATAATAAAAGTCAATAATTGTCATTTTGTTGATGAAATTCTCTAAAAAAAGATTCAAAATTCGAATTTTGTCAACTAGTCTTTATTTAGGTAGACTTTATTTTTATTACACACGTATAAGCATTATGATCATTATAAATATATATCTTTTGATGTAGATCAAAACACTGCTAAAAGTTAATATTAACTTGTAATACGTGTAATCAGGATATAATTAAGGAAATAAGAATTTGTGTTGCTTTTGGAATAATCTAAAAAAAAAAAATCTAAAAATTAAAAACTATCTACTTATTTATATTGAAGTATTTTTTATGAGTCTTTTTAATCACTGTTAGATATCATTTATTCTTGTCCTCCGACTAGAGGCATAGTTTTTATAATTTATAAGAGCTTGTCTACATTAATTTTCTTAAGTTTGAGCACTATCAAAAAGTATAACTAAGTTTTTGATAGTGTAATTTAGATGAATTAAATTAACCCAATAGGCCTTAAAGATTTCTAACAACTTTTTAATTATTAACTGTTTTTATTTTAAGGGCTCAACACTTAAATAATTAAAGTGTTTGCTTTTATATTGAAATAGTGTTGAAGTGTAATTTAAATTACAGAAACATTATTTTTAAAGTAATTTTTATGTAATTGAGCTGTCAAAATAAAAGTATATCATTTCTAATTCAATTAATTATTTAAGGATAATTTTGGAGAGTTCATCACAACTTCGAAGTGATAATTACTATAGTGTTATGGAAACTCTAATATTGTTTAATGAATTAGGTAAATTACTAATATGATCTAATGTAATTTAATTGCTTTTTGTAACATAAAATTATAGATAAATACCTAACTTAACCTTACTTGAAATAGTGACTCAGTTACATTAATATTGCATTTTTTAGGTTTGACACATTGCTCAGTAGGTATTTATATCATTGTATTTGTTTTAGATTTTAATGCAAAAATGTATTTCATTTTTCAGTAATACCTATTTATAGATCTTAAGTTAAATTAATTAAAATTGTTTTGGTTTTTGTTAATGAAAATTAGTAATTAGTTCAATGGGTGCTCAGAGTAAGAAATTTTCACCTAATTTAAGATGTACACAGACTAGTGAAATTTTTCAGTAAATTACCTGTACACTCTTAGTTTGTATCACAAAATCGGAATTTTAGATGCATTCATGTAACTAAATTCTTAATTTTTTGAGTTAGATCACTGTCATTTTAAGTCCTGCCTCTAGAAATCTGTTATTATCGACTAATGTACCTTTGAAAATGTAGTTCCAATAAACAAAGAAATAATTATGTAAATACAAGTCAAGATTTTTGTAATGAGTTTTTTAATTTTCAATAAAAATAAAAGTTAAATATTGTTTACTCTATTAACCCCAAATACCAAAACTGTCTTTGATTAAATCTCTATTTTCTTTTCGCTGGCGAGATACGGCACTTGCTTCACCTTTAGCTAAACGTCTACGTTGAACAGCAACTCTGTCTCTTTTTTCAAGAGCCTTTTTTACTTTGTCTCTTATTACTTCTGGTGGTATAGTAGTAGATGTGGTAACACTTCTAACGCTATGAATATCTGAATAACATACTTTAGAGGAAACAACACTATCACAATCATCACTTCCACTTAAAGATATATATTCCTCAGAATCTGATTTGGATGTATCATGACATGATGTTAATTCTTTTTCAGGTAATGAACATTTTTTACTAGATGGTGATGAATCCTCTGCTTTCATGAGTTCTGAAACTTGTTGGGATAAATGTTCTATTTCTTCTTTTTCATTTTTGTAAGAAACATTATCATCTTCATTAGAACTGTCTATTTTGTCAATTAGACCCATTTCATGTAGAAGTACTTGATCCATATTCTTAGTAAAACCACTTGCAGATACTTCAACATCTAAAAATTCTTCTCTATCACTAAACATAAAACTTATAATAATATAATGCTACAACATAAGTCAAAAATAGATTTAACTTACGCTATATCTTCAAATATTGGATATAAATGGCTTTCATAATTAAATCTTTTTTTGAAAAAATCTCTAATACAGTTAACATCTCTTTCAAAATACCTAGAACAGAAAATAATGCATAATTATAGTAACTTTTTTCAATAAAGAGGTCTAATAAATGGAATTAGAGAATTTTTGAGTATATTTTACAAATTTTGCTCTAAATAGTCTAACGTATAGTAAATAGCTACTAATTAGACTAAAAAAATTACTACTATTTTAAAGTTAATTTTTCAATAATGATAACTGTAGTGTAGTTATGATCTTATTACTGGAATATTGCCACCACAAAATGGAAGATTACTAGGAATACAGTGGAATCGTGAAAAATTATTATGAGAATTATTCTCCCAAGAATCATTAAATTAATCATTAATAATTTTATTTACATTTGTGCATTTGGATGAGAGGTAGACATCATTTGAGGAAAATCAATAATGACTGGTTTTTGCTCATCATTTATCATTATATTGAATTCATTAAAATCGCCATGAATAACTCCATGTTGACCAAGACGTACAATTAAATCCATTAGTTCATCATACAAATTTTCTACATCATCTATTTCATAAAGGCGACATCTAAAATTGTAATTATTGAACAATAAAATGTAATAATATTAAAATTAAGACTAATTAATAGTTATTTAAAAGATTAAAATAAAATTTTTTTAGTAAAATGTTGCAAAAATAGTTTGTAAGAAAAAATGTATAACAAGAGTTTAAAAATTAATACAAAAAAAAATTTATTAAGTAAAATTTGTTTTCTTACAAAGGATGTCCATTGATTAGTTCCATGACTACACAATGTCTATTAATATCAATAGGTTTTGGAACAGGAAAATCTCTTTTAGCTAAAGCTTCCATATATGCAAACTCTTTAGTAGCAGAAATTCGTGATAAATATAACCACCCAACTTTATGTCGATGAGCATGATAATCCCTTTTTTCTTTCAAATTTCGAAAGCATGTTCTTCCTAATCTAAAATAGTATTGAATAATACATTTTTCTTAACTGAAAACTAAAAATTAGTTTATAACATACCTATGTAATTTTAAACATATAGGTTTATCTTCAGAATCAGCTACTACATAAATATTTGATTCCTTGCCAACTCCTATTTGGTTTCCAAACGAAGAAATTACTTGGCGACTTGTAAGAGTTTTAAGGGCAAGATAATCATAACCAGTATTTGTTAATCTATAACCATCATCTAAAAAGTTCAATTAAGAATTTGATTTAAAAAAAAATTACTTAATTGATCATACTAAATTAAAAATTTCTTATTACACTTTTTTCCTCTTTCATATGTTAATAAACGATGTTTACAAAGTTCTTTAAGAATTTTATGTACACCGCCGTGATGTAAGTTAGCAATTGAAGCTGCTAAGGCTCCTGGAACAAGTTCATGATTTTTCATACCCATTTCAATCTAAAATTTATAAAATTATAAAAACTATTTTTTTTTTAAACTTGAATTCTTACAGCAGTTAAAACTCGAAAGTCTTCTTTTGTTAAATAGCGAAGCATAGTCACATTTAATTTTCCCATTATTATTTTTAAGCGCAATATCAGAATTTTTTTCAATTTTAATTTTAAACATGTGTCCAGAACGTTGATAGTAAAAAATGATATATATTTTTTGATAAAAATTCTTATCTGTATTAAAATATGATTAGGTGGGGGTCAGTTTTATTATGTATCTACATACATTCAAGTAATAAGGATACATATAAATAAAACAATTTAATTAATTTAGAAGAAATTGTGTAGTTCTTATAATAATTAAGGTACATATTAGTTCAATATGTATTTTAAATAACAAAATCAACATTGAATAGTTTTCTAATGAAAGTAATAGAGTTACAAATTAAAACTTTTAATTTTTAAAACTATGCTGTGGATACACTGTATATTTTAAATGGCTGTCTTGCTTATCTTCACTTATCGCTTGATTTCTCTCTAATTATAATAGTTTCAATTCTACTGTTTATATATTTTACGTTAAGTAATAATCTCTTTTTTCTTTTAGTTTTTATGTATTATTGAAGAAAATATGCCGTACGCTAATCAACCATCTGTTAATATATCTGAACTGACCACAGATTCCATTAAATTTCAAATAGAAGATACTGATTTAAGTGTTGCTAACAGTCTGCGTCGAGTATTTATTGCTGAAACCCCTACTTTAGCAATTGATTGGGTCCAATTAGATTCAAATTCTACTGTATTAAGTGATGAGTTTATAGCTTCCCGTATTGGTTTAATACCATTAACATCCGACGAAGTAGTCGATCGTTTACAATACTCCAGAGATTGTACTTGTTCAGATTTCTGTCACGAATGTAGTGTTGAATTCAACCTTAATGTAAAATGTTCTGAAGAGCAAACGAGACATGTTACGACTGCTGACTTAATAAGTAATAACCCTCGTGTAGTACCTGTTACATCAAGAAACCAGGATAGTGATATTAATGAATATGGCGAGAAAGATGATATCTTAATTGTGAAGTTACGTAAGGGACAAGAGCTAAAAATCCGTGCATTTGCCAAAAAAGGATTTGGTAAGGAACATGCAAAATGGAATCCAACTACAGGTGTCAGTTTTGAGTATGATCCTGATAATACTATGAGACATACATTATTTCCAAAACCCGATGAATGGCCTAAAAGTGAATACTCTGAATTAAACGAAGATCAACATGAAGGGCCATATAATTGGAGAGCTAAACCTAATAAATTCTTTTTTAATGTTGAAAGTTGTGGGTCACTTAAACCAGAAAACATTGTTCTCATGGGAGTAGCAGCTTTAAAAAACAAATTATCTAATCTTCAAACACAATTCACACAAGAAATGGATGCATTAGCTATAAATTAAGTTTTTTATAATCTATACTTAAAGATAATTTTATTGTACACTCTATGTAACGTTTATTTTTTTAATATAAAAATATCCAAGTATAATTTTTTTTTATTATCAACATTAAATAATTTTGCAGATCTATAAAAGATATTTTGAAAATGTATTTTAAGTATAGATTTGTAATGAGATACTTCTCAAAAGTATTTAGAATACTTTCAAATATTTTTTTAAATTTTTTTATCTATTCTGATTTATTTTGCATTGAAATTTCAGATTGTTATGAGACTTACACTCGAATGTTTTTGTATATAAAAAGAACTTTCATGACCAAAAAAAAAATACAGACATAAAATTTTTAATAGTTTAATCTAATTTATTAATTTTGAACTTCCCCTAGATAAAATTATACTATGATTATACTAAGATTATAAAAACAACAATAACTCTTAATTTCTTAATTTTATCCCGATTAGTTATTTGATTTATTATTATTATATATGAATAAATAATAATTTTATAAATTAAATTCAGTATGATATTGATATATAATAATTTAATATTGNGCCATCTATATAAAAAGAAATTATATTGATATGTTCATTTTTGAAAAAGTTAAAGCATTATTAAGTTAAAAATATAAAAAAAGATTATTTTACAAAAATCGTAATTTTTTATTAACTTTGATGTCAACTTTCAACACGAAGACAAGTCCAGAGGTCAAATTTTTTTTTTTCAAATTAAAGTATATTACATATGCTTCAATTTAAGATATATATAAAAGTGTCAGACCTTCCGAAACACTTTCAAAAGTTAAGTTAAAAAAGTTCTACTTTCTATATGCATTTTTTATATTTGAAGCCCCCCCATATATAGGGAAATAGTCTGATTTAAAAAACAAGTATATCCAATGAAAGATGTATATAAATACTACTTCTCATGAAAAAATTGTATTGATCCATACATTTTTTAAAAAGTTATAGCACTTTAAAGTAAAAAATGTAAATTATAAAATCGAAAATTTTCACACAAAAATAGCATTCGGTAGCCGTTTTCACCATGAAGACAAGTCCAGAGGTCAAATTTTTTTTTTTCAAATTAAAGTACATTACATTAGCTTTAATTTAAGATATATATAAAAGTGTCAGACCTTCCGGAACATTTTCAAAAGTTAAGTTGAAAAAGTTAATTTTTTGTGAAAAAGTTGTCATTTTAAATCTCCCCCTGTGGGCAGATAAAGGGTCAAATTTACAAAAAAAATATACCAAATGATAAGTAAAGACATCAAGCATCTATAAAAAAANTTCCCCCTGTGGGCAGATAATGGGTCAAATTTACAAATGATACCAAATAATAAGTAAAGACATCAAGCATCTATATAAAAAAAAATTATATTGATTTGTTCATTTTTGAAAAAGTTATGGCAGTTTTTAGTAAAAANGATTTGTTCATTTTTGAAAAAGTTATGGCAGTTTTTAGTAAAAAAAATTGAAAAAAATTCGAAAATTGATTTTTAAATTTGTAATTTTTTTGGAGGTTACCCCCATTTACGAGGAACGAGGGAAATTTTTTCAATTTTGAAGGGTAATGTCTTCGACTAGATACGATTTGTGATCTTTTGACNACTCCCATTTACGAGGAATTTTCAATTTTGAAGGGTAATGTCTTCGACTAGATACGATTTGTGATCTTTTGACGTATCGTTGAAAGAAATCTGTTCAGTGAGAGCTGAGAAAAAGTGGTAACAGACACAAAAAAAATAAAAAAATAAAAAATAAACGCATTATAGTAAAACTAATACCTTCTCAGCTTCGCATCGAAGCTAAAATGAATTTATTACCATAACATTTAGCTCAACTTGCAATTTTGAAATGGATATTATTAAATAGAAAATAATGAAATTGGTAGATTATTTCAAAAACAACAATAACACTTATTCCCTTAATTTTACGCCGATTTATAATTATAATATATGAATACATATTAATTACAGTAATTAAATTTAGTATGAAAGTGGTATTCAGTAATATAATATTGTAATTTTTACGGATATAAAAATAAAAAGGAGTTNATTGTAATTTTTACGGAGATAATATAAAAAAACCCAGCACAGGGGGGTCGCGGCACAGTGGTGACGTGGTATAGATGGATCAAGTATAATGATATCTGA